CACTGAAACAGGCACACGCCCATGGGCACATCAACACTGCTCTGTTCATTGCTTTTGTTGTGCAGGACTGCAGCTGCTCATGGCCATGGGAAGTGCAGCTGCTGATGGCCATCCCAACTGCAGCTGGCAGTGGTGAGCACTACCACCAAGACAGGATGTGTGCCGCCCTGGCGCAATTTTCTACACAACTGCACTGTGGTCGTTCTCAGAAGCAACCCCAAACATAGGGGCCGCCACCGCCACCATCGTCCATGCGCCATGCTATGTTTTGGTGGGTGCTCAGTTGCCATGGTGCTTGACCAGGCCAGCTGCCAGCTCTATGCCTATCTTCTTGCGTGGCCAGGTGGATGGTGCTCATGCGGTCATGGTGAATGCGGTTATGCGTATGCCGGGCACATTCGTGGTAAAGAACTGAAGTTGTTAACGTGGAATGGCCAAACAAGGCCGTGGCGTATAGGTGGGGGGGCGTGCACACGAAATACACAGCAAGGGTGGCAGTCTGCACAACCGAACGACGAAGAAACCGGCGCGGCGATTTTGGAAAAGAAGCTCCTTCATCACATAGGAGCACATGCTTGCAGAGCGTCATGCCGGAGGTGGTATGGGGGGCGTCCCCTTAAATTGACAAAGGCCGCGCGCCACGCCCGAGGTGGAGGGCAGTGGGGGCACGCGGAGTGGCAACGGCAGCAGTGATGCTCACCTGCTGTGCTGGCTTGCTGCTCCTCCACTGCCTGCGGCTTGGTGTCCTTTGCGTCCCTCGCGTGGCGTCGTGTCTGATGGCTGCTGCGTCTCAACTCTTCCTCCTGCTGCATGCACGCTCTACTGCCCGCTGCCGAAGTTTATGAGCGTGTCTGGGTGAACCCGCGTCCTTTTAAGAAGTCAGCGCGGGACCGCGTGCCCCTCACCGCGCTCAGGCGGCACGCGCGTCCCAGTCAGGTACTGCCGCCGCTCTGCCCCGCTGCCCTCCACGGACACCGCGTTGAAGGCATCCCGTCATGCTGCTGGCCCGCGGCCCACTGTAAGAACGCAACGACCGGCGCGAAGCGCGCCTATCGCGAAACACTCGTCGCTGGCCTTTTGCGCGAGGGGGCTGCGCGCGCACGCGCTGGGCTGCGGCGCGACCAGCGGGCCCCATTCATGTTTTTGAATCCGTGGGTGGGGCGCAGTAGTCTGCGCAGTAGTGAGGAGCCCTGCGGTACGGAAATAATTGCTATATCCGCCGGGCTAACAGCAGTGAAGAAGGCAGCAGCGCAGACGTTGGGGCCATTAATGATGGCAGCGAGGGCGGAGCCGATGAATCGCCGCGCAATGAACGGGGACTGAGAGGCATCGTTGCCCTAGGAAAGCGCACAAGGGGAGGCCACGAGATTAGCCCGAATGAAGAAAGCGAAAGTTTGAGGAAGTGCTGAAAGAAAGCGAATTTGGACAGGGAGAAAGGTAGCCGGGCAAGTCGGGAGGGAGTGCCTGCTGTATGACAGCTATGTACTCAACTGCTTACAACTCCACGAGGTATTTGACACAACTCCTGGAATCGAAGTACTGTTTGCCTATTCCATTGAGTGCATCCAGCTCGTGCATCGTGTATTTTCTTGTTAAATTGGGGCAGTCGGGAGAGTGGTTCTTGGGTTTTCTGCTTTTGGATTATCAGAATCCTCGGATGAATAGGATTACGAAAATCAACACTGCAAATCAAAAGGCGTTGTTCTTAGACAGGTGGGGTTACCTTACTTTGGTCTTCGGTATGGTTCGGCCAGGACTTTTAGAGGTCAATCTAGTGTATTGTGTAAATCACGATTCAATAAACAGACGCATGGTACGCTGCGGCACCCAGGGATGACTTTGCGGAAATGGAGAAACGGTCTGTAAACATTACATACTGCTGGTGTCTGCTGATTGGAATGTGGTCGTGGGCCACAATCCTGCAGGACACCCGAAGCCAACGTGACTTGGTGTATACACATCTCAAGATGAAATGACAGCTTCCGGCGCGTTCCCCACGCATCAGCCACAAGTCGCATCACTGAATAATCGACATACCAAAAAGAATAGTTTTGGGAAGGCTTGTGGCACCCCTCACTTTGCCAGCCTAATAATGCAAAATGAGCAATATCCATGGATGCTACACAACCAAGATCTGCACATAGTGTAGCCCATGGCATGATTGTTGAGCTGAAAATTTTTTTGTGAGAAACCAGAACCGCGCATCAATTCTTGTTGGGCGTTCCCACAGTGGGATGGGCAGTTCGTGTCCTTGAAAGTGCTCAATTCGATTGCGTGTTAAATCCAGTATTCCGTGGAGCGACAGTTGCGCATCCACGGAGACGTTTTAATGGGTAGGACATGCCTGAAGCTTAGGTCAGCATGGGAGCGGCCGAGGCAGGATTTGATGGGCTGGACGAAGCGCCATCGCATAGAAAATCCTGCAGCAGCCAAGGAGCTGGCGACTGCCATTATGGTGTGGGAGTAAGGAAAGTTGCTTTGAAATTTTGTATGGCCGATCGCATGTTGCTGGGCGACGTTGTAGCACAAATAGTTAACGTTGTTGCCAGAAATTGGAGAGCCAAAAGAGTGATGCTAAAATTTCAGCGTGCGAAACTCATTTTCACCTAAAAATGAGTATATTACTGAGGCAATTTACAAGGGATGCAAGGTTGGTAAGGTTGCGTGGCGTTCGCAGTAACTTTGCTTAATTGCAAAGGGAGAATCGACCGAAAATTGGCAAAGATCGCGTGACGCGTGGTGCAAGTTTTGATATTCTGCCAGGAATGGCAAAAATGTTTCGGAATAGGAGGCTGAGGATTAAGCGCGGCATACGAACAACTGAATTGGGCAAGAACGTGAATCAAGCAATATGAATTGCCTTATGGATGCTTACTTTTCAGTGTGTTTTGTGGTTGTTGGCTTGTAATTGAGCGCAGTTCGGGTCGCCAAATATAACTTACAATTAAAAGTGGATGATGACGATCAATACATGAACCGGCCCCGCGTGTGGTTCAGACTGAGCGAGTAGGCCGTGCAGACACATCGCCAAAAGCTCAGGACGATGGCGAACACGCTGTTTACACGGATACAAGGAAAAGGAGACTACATCAGTGCACCCAATCGACAAATTTATCAACATAGTTGTGCACCTGCCCAATACGTCATCGCGACATGTAGCATACCAATAATAGAGGGGCTGTGTACTGTCAAAATGCGTAGTATATTAAGGCCAACTTGTCAAGATGCGGGCTTGAACATCGTGTAAGGAATTCGACGCAGAGGTGGAAGTGCATAATGCAAGATTGCAAAACGGCCCAATAGGCAGTCTTGTTGGGAAATCTGGAGCAACGAGCATGATTGCATAACGCTGGCCATGCTGAAATATGGGACAAGGGGAGGCCGTGGCAGGCAGGGATGCAACATTGAAGATCAGATCATCGACATCAAGGAACAGTGAAAGTCATCAACGGCCACTTGAGTCAAGCATCTGAGCAGCAGAATACGCATGCAGCTGCGAGACTACACTAAATTCCACTGCGGTTTAAGGCATGAGCACCAAACACGTCGATCAGAAAACGAGTCAAGACGTTGACATGCTGCGTGTAACAACTCAACGACTGCTGTGAGGAGGGCTGTCTGAATTGGCATGGGCTCTCAAGGTGAAAATGATGCGAAAATAATCCAAAATGGCTGCATTTAGGTGTGATGTCATCTCTTTTCTACTTTAATGTTTGATGGTTTTATATTGTTTCCTAGTGGCATTTGGCAGCGAGAATGGTGGCATGACCTGTCCGTGGAATGAACATCAGAGGTGGTGTTTGTATTGCCGTGCACTGGCATAGATAGTAATTTCGTAGAATCCACGACTCGTGAACCACGAGGTGGATGCACTGGTTGAGTGCCATCATGTCGCTCGAACGGCCATGGTGGATGCTGTGTGAAATGTGGCAGTTTTCTAATCGAATCTCATGGGCCAAAGGGTAGAGCGTTGAAGTGGCATATTTTCCTACAGCTTGGGTTGCATGTTGTGCGGCGATAATGCAATCTTTTCATGAGGACTATGTGAAAGGCTTGTAGTATCGTACGTAAACGGGAAACTTGTTCGGGGATAGGAGGGGCTGGGAGGGAATTTGATGTGAACTCCCAGAAATGATAGGACCCTTTATGGATCAATGTTACATTTGATGTGTTGACATAAACGGGGTTTCGAAGGACTGTTTTGGGTGGCTGCCGCGACATGTGCAGCCCCACAAAGCCTCATACCATTTTCAGAGGGGATTCAACGGAAATAACAAGAGTTTGTGAAGTTGTAAGGGCCTTGTTGGTGTTCTGTGAGTGTGTGGCTTTTGCACACAAGTCGTTGCGTGTAGCTCGAGCAATTTGGCTTCAAACCCAGCGTTTTCCGGTACCAAACGCTTGGATTTTAGCGTGGCGCACTTATGGTATTCTCAACGTTCGAGATGCATGGCATTCTGAGTGAATCTGTGTGAATCGCTTAAGTTTCTGCTGGCGTTTCTATCCATGTCCATTCAGTTTGCATGCGCCCAAATGCCTCAGCCCATGGGCCATTTGTGCATGGATTTTCGTGGCCAAATCGACAGCATTGGGCATGCGAAGAGGCAGGATGTCCACCATTTCGTTTCCCCTTTTCTTGCACTTCAACTGTTCTGATGCACGGAAAAAGCGAAACTTTTTGGAGATGATCGTGCCCAAGACGTCCCAAGGCACGATTGATATCGCAAGTGCGCAGTGTGCTTCTTGAAACCGGTTCAACTCTCAGGCCACCGCCGTACTGACTGAAAACGTCTTCGCTGGAGCTCCTCATGGATCGCTGCATGTGCACGTTACCGTTCGCGCCCTCATGCATGCACAGGGAACATTAATGGCATTGTGCCAGATAATGTATTCCATTATCCCGGGCTCCTCCAACCCGCAAGTCGCTGCTCAGACGAGAGCGCCAAGACAGGGCGAGTTTCTGTCAAGCCAAGCAACCACACGCCACAGGCGTTGGGAGGACGATGCCCCGAGAGATAATTTGTCTGCAAGTGGGGCAGTGCGGGAACCAGATTGGCACAGAGTTTTGGAAGAAGGTGTGCGAGGGGGCCACTCCCCAAGGGTGGTGGGAATGGGATTTCCATCACCGCGATGGGGCAGTCGATATGTGATGGTCCTTTTCGCGGCAGGACGAAGGTTGAATTAGAAGAGCAAAGCGTTGCTTGGATGGGCAGGCGCCATGCGCTCTGGCTAGTGATAGCATTTGGGGTGAATCACCGCCTGAAGTTGACGACCGGGCACTCTTTGCGCGGGAATCGAAGCGCAACACCAACATGGGAGAGTGTTGGGGTAGCACAGGCCTGCTGAGATGCTGCGGCTCTGGCGCACCTCGTGTCGGCCGATCGGTCCAGCGACCTGCAGATATCTGCAGTAGACAGTGCCGTGGGTGCAGCGCATTGCATCGCGCCCTGCCACCCGCGTTGAGTTGAGCCTACCCCGGTCGGGTGTGGCCACCCAGGGCCATCCTTGTGTGACGGTTTTGTGGCCATCTGACGTTGCGTTCGGATTGATGCGTCAGCTCTGTGCGGAGCACGGGATCAGCAAGGATGGCCGTCTGGAGGACTTCGCTACGCAGGTAAGGGGATCCCTGAGTTGTTCTTGGGTGGTTGGGGGTGATGGGGTGGGGGAAGAAAAACGGCACAATCTGCCTTCATATGGGCTGCTGGTCTTCACGCCGTTTTTGGCTCGCATTCTCAGCCCACCATTGGATGGATCACATGTTTGCTTTGGTGAGGTGCCTCGGGAATTTATTGATCCAACTTGGAGTAGTAGCGGACGGGCCCAGGTGCACAATTCGCCCACAGGCTTGCCGCTGCTGTTCTGTACCTTCGCTTTATTACTGCACACAGCTGCGGCTTTGCCTTCTGTTTGAGCGCCATTGTCGCTGGACACAGCATGCCTGAAAGACATGTGTTCTGAAAAGGCGCTGGCATATTGTTGTTGCTGTTAAGGGTGGTGATCGAAAGGATGTGTTCTTCTACCAAGCCGACGATGAGCACTATGTGCCCCGTGCACTTTTGCTGGACTTAGAACCAAGGTGGGCTACATATGAGTGTGCTTGGGCCTTGCTTCCAGTTGAATTTTGCTTTGCCCTGCAGGGCACAGTTGCCTGATTGAAATGCCACACTAACTGCATCAACATTGGGAGCAGCCCAGTGACAAGCTCGTGTCAGCAGCAGCTGGCCTTGAGGTTTGCTGAAGACAAGTCGATGCAGTTCTGAATCCACAAACTACAAATACTATACTAGAATGGTGCTTCGTTGCTACATCATCATGCACTGTGGGCCTCGTCTATAACCCAGCATTTGGCTGTCAATTTTGTAATGTTCACAGTGCAAGGCTGATAACTGTCTTGATTGGACAAAGCAGACTGAGATACTTTGTTCACGGGTTTGCACAAATTTTGATTTGCGAATCTCACTGCACACTGTGGCAATTCAGTCATTTGCTTTTTATGTATCTGCGATCTGGCGTCTTGTCCCACAGAAGTGTTGGGCAATTGAAAGTGGCCTGTTTTGCCCCGGGAAAGCGTTTGTGGTGCGATGGGAGTCACAGCAGCCATGATGTAAGACCATTGCAAACAATATCTTTCAACCAAAGTTGTGATCTATAAAATGTTGCTTCCTCCTCCAGATCTGGAATTTTGAGCTGGTGAAGATTTCCATACCATTGGCAGTGATACAGGATTTTCCAAATGCAACAGGATTGGCTTGTGGCAAAGGCAAAGGCAAGGGGATTCTAAACTGTTTTTTTGACTTTTGCAGGGTCATCAATGGCATCCAGAACTCTGAGATACGGAACTTGTTCAACCCTGAGAATGTCTTCATCTCCAAAGAGGGAGGTGGTGCAGGAAACAATTGGGCGAGCGGATACTGTCAGGGGGAGAAAGTGCAGGAGGCGTTGCTGGACATGATCGGTGAGGGACCTTTGGTTGCGCTGGTTACAATGGCGGGGCACCTCTTTGATCTTCAAAGGCAGAAAGGGACACATGACATGAAATGTGTAATCCCCTTTGGAGCAAAGTTTCACAAGAATCTTTTCCATATTTTGATAGGCCGCAGGGCTTGGTTGATAATCTCAGTTGAGTTTCCCACTGCTCTAACCCTCAAATGGATGGTGACCTTTGAAGTGCGATGTGAGAGCTGGAGTCTTGCACAAAAGGGAGAGAGACTTGCTGACTGTCACTCATGGTTTTGTTGGTTATGTGGAGGGCGAGATCTCTGACACCTAGCTTTGCTGTTGACAACCCCAGCAGTACTCCTTACTGGTAAGATAGCCCTTTCCCAGGTTTGACAAACACCGTTGCCGTAGATTAACGCCCCAGTGTTTTGGCACAGATCGCGAAGCTGAATACTGTGACAGCCTGGAGGGCTTCTGTTTGTGCCACTCCATTGCTGGTGGAACTGGTTCGGGGATGGGATCATATCTGCTGGAGGCGCTGAATGACAGATGGGGCAAGAAACTGGTGCAGACATACAGGTATGAGGCTGTGAGAGAGTGTTTAACTCCAAAGAGAACTAAGCCGCACCATAAATATACCCATCGTGAGGAAAATTGTTTGTTAAGCTCTCTTCAGTGCTCTGAGTGTGGTACGGAAGTGTGCGAGTGTAAGCTGATAAAAGCTGATAATAAGACAGCCAAGGCGGCCTGCATGAGCAGGGGTGTGGAAATGTGTATGCATCACTCGGTAGGCACATAGGTGAAGGGGTTTTCAGTACAGTTTTGTATTGGCTTTGGGGGGTTGATCACCGAACAAGAAGTTAAGTCTGTAGGGCAATATGGGCAATGCGTCGATTTGTTGTGTAGTGCCCCAGCCTAAGAAGGGCTCAAATGCAGTCTGTTGCGTCTTGTGCTGGGTTGTCCTGGACATGTCTTTTCTGAGGATGTGGAATAATGGATATCAGAACAGGTGGTGAATGGCAGCAATGGCAAATACGGTGTGAGGTCCTTTCTTGCACCACTCACTGGGCACAACGAATATGAGATTCCCACATTTATTTTTTTTACCTTACTAGGCAAAGTAGTCAAACCTTGGAAGCGATGGTGTGCAGGTGTCCACAAACGTTTGTTAGCTGCCCACATGTTCACATGCTGTCACTCGATGGAGTGCTAGGGACATCGTGACACTGTTACCCACAGGTCGTTGATATTTGTTCCTGCATGCCTCCAGTGTGTTTCCTAATCAACAGGAGTCGAGCGATGTGGTCGTTCAGCCCTACAACTCCGTACTGACACTCAAACGCCTCACACTACATGCTGATGCTGTCGTTGTCCTGGACAACACTGCCCTCAATCGAATCGCTGTTGAGCGCCTGCACGTGGAGAGCCCATCCTTCACAGTCACCAACTCCCTTGTGTCCACCGTCATGGCAGCGTCTACCACAACTTTGCGCTATCCTGGTGGGTATATGGATGCACCAGGAACTGGGCACGCACTGTCATCGCATTGATCCCACTGGTTGAAAACTGGCGGAATACTTCTGTTGCTTCTATTAGTTTTATTGCACCTTCTATCTGTTGTTACCTCTATTGGTATCCACCCCCTTCTTTGGGGGTCGAAACCACGTTGAGATCCATGGCCTGGTGTTAGTATCCACCCCCAAATCAACAGAAACGAGCTTGAGAGGGCTCGTTGGCTTCGCCTTGGGGAGAGAAAGCTAGTTTGCATGTCTTTGTTCTAACAGCACTCTTGTTGCACGACCTCAACGTGCAACAACTGCCAAAAGCTGCTCATCCTGTAGTGCGATGCATGTGATGGCTGCAAGCCTCACAGCTGGAGCAGCTAATCTGATGGAGAAAAAGTCTGTTTGCTTGTCGAGCGACTGCAGGCCAGGCGTCTACGGCACAGTTGCGGCCTAGAGTTGCCAGTAGATCTGGCAGCCTTGCTTGTTTCTGTAACAATGCTCAGCATGGCACTCGCCTCTGCAGCAGTCACACTAGATCCCGCGGCACCCGGTTGCACAACAACTATTGTAATGTGCATCCAACCACCTCAACTATGCGCAGCGTAGCCTGTCAGCCACATACGCACATGCCTGCCATGCACCATGGGGTATCCTTCGACCTTTCGTGGCCGTTGGGGGAACACGATGGTTGTTGGTAGCGCGGGGCCGCGCCTGGTGACATGCATGCCAAACGACCAGCCGTCACCCCTGGTGCTTCTCACAACCAGTCTCCACACACTCTGCGCCAAGCTCGCCCATGCTTGCCTTTAGCTTGACTGGAGGCGTGCCAACCAGGCCACACGGTAGGGCCGCTGTCCACCTGAACATGCTGGCATCTCCCGCCAAAACTGTTGATGACCGGGGAAGGTGTTGATGAGGATTTTGACAGCTTTGCATCAGATATGGATTTGGACAACGATTGATTGTGAATGCGTTTCTGTGTTTCTGTTTGGGAGTTTGTGGTTGCACCAGCACTGTCGCTGACAATATGGAGTTGTCAATAATGTGGTGTCTGTGATTTTTGAACTTTGATTTGATGATGTCGCTACCTATGCATCGCATCTTGCATTATTTCAAATGCATTTTTTGCATTTCAATGGCTATTTTAAAATTTTCTTTGTGTAATCCTTGGGTAGGGGGTCTAAACCTCGTTAATATCCATGACCCACTATTAGTATCCACTGCTCCTTTTGAGGGTCCAAAACACAACTACTAATACTGGGTAAATACGGTATATCCATCTTCATCCAGGAACCCTGAATGGATGCAGAGCAACATTGTGCCATCTGGCGATTTTGCAGGAACCATGGACTGTGCGCATGCGCACTCTCCGACATACACTTTTCCTCCTTGGCAGTTTCTGTTGTCCTGTTGCCCCTCTCCATCGTTGATGCCACTCTCCAAGCTGACTTGTGATGGTGTTGCCCTTTGTGCAGGTTACATGAACAACGATCTTGTGGGTCTGATCGCCTCGCTGATCCCCACCCCAAGGTGCCACTTTCTCATGACGGGATACACGCCACTGACAGTGGAGGGGGATCAGGGCCCCATACAGAGCACCATTCGGAAGACGACAGTCCTGGATGTCATGAGGCGGCTGCTGCAGAGCAAAAACATCATGGTATCGTTTTTCACACTTGCTGACGTGGCCCCTTAACGGCTTGCAGTTCGTGTTGCATTCAAAGACTCTAGCATCATCAACTGATTACGGAAAGGGCGTGCATTAAAATTTCATTCAGATGCAGTTTTGCCTGCTGCACAACACATCCTTTGTTTTTGTCTGAAAAGGCGCACTTGGTGCCCAGCCTTTCAGCATGCCGTTGGTGTGAAACATGCCCACTTGCAGTGCCTCAGCCTCCAATCTTCTACGCCTAGCCATCATGCCAATGCTTCTCCCCAACACTGTGGTAACTGCTGCACAACATCTGCAAGGCGCAAAGCGCCCATTTTGCTCTGAAGAAATGAAGTTGTGTTACTCTGCAAAAGCAGAACCTGCGTCTTGCCCCACATCACAGTGCCTGTGTGACCACCTGTCCTTGTGGGCAGTCTGTACCACACACTTGCTTCCACACACCATACTTCCACAACATCTGTTGCAAGTTTATTTAAATTGTTGAAGGAAAGAGTCTCCAAAAAACTCTCTGTGGGGTGTGCTCAGTGTATGACATGTTTGTTTTGTGGTCGATGCTATCATTCTGCTTGGGGGATTTTGAAGCCATGGCATTCTTCAGACTGTCTTGCTTCACTACAGGTGCCCCTGTAGCTGTTGTTGCCAGCACTCCTTTTTTGTCAGCGGCTGACAGGTGCAATGAATCTGAGAGCAGCTGTGCTTCTATCCATCAGGTGTCTGCCCATGCCAGGGCGAAGGAGGCAAGCACTGCAAAGTACATCTCCATTTTGAACATAATCCAGGGTGAGGTGGACCCAACTCAAGTGCACAAGAGCCTGCAGCGAATTCGAGAAAGAAAATTGGCAAATTTCATCGAGTGGGGTCCTGCCAGCATCCAGGTAGAGGACTCCACTTTGCTGCAGAGGTTGCAGGTTGAAAGTAATGAATCTGCTGTTTGTCAGTGTTACAACAATCTGAGTGAAACATCACGTATGGAAGTCGTCCATCAAAAGCACTTTCCACTGCAAATGTCACCAAATACTTTGCCAGTGCTGAAGGTGGCTGTTGTGAGCTAGTGCTTGTCTCAACGTGCACAACTCCCTAAAAACCAGCAGTATGGGCTTCTACCGATGGAGGGGGCACAACTGAAAAGTAGCCACCCTTTCTGCCCTGTTGCAATGCAAAGCAAAGAACGAGGGTATGGCTGCTGATATCAGCACAACCAACAGAAAAGTTGTGGAGCAACTCATGCACATACAACAAGAATGGGAAGAGCTACACAGAAGTGCACATGGCCAATGTTTGTTCATGTGTGGATGTGTGTGACAGCCACGTTTACAAGTATCTGATTTGGTGTGTGTGATAGGTGGCCCTGTCGAAGAAGTCACCATACGTGCAGACGGCACACCGTGTGAGCGGCCTTATGTTGGCCAACCACACAAGTATCCGCCACCTCTTCAACCGCTGCCTCTCACAGTACGACAAGCTCATCAAGCGCAAGGCCTTTATTGACAAATACCAGCAGTTCCCCATGTTCAGCAGGGATGGCCAGGGCCTGGACTTCATGCAGGACGAATTCGACAATTCGCGGGCCATTCTGGCCGCCCTCTCGCAAGAGTACGAGGCATGCGAGCATGCAGATTATGTGAGTGGGGGTGGGGCGCGGTGGGCCGGCACGGAATTGGGTGTGTGTATGCTATTGATGCCGTACCATTGGTCTTCCATTTTCAACAACGGCAGCTTGCATCACAACCAGTCCAGCGGCATCACTTGTGAAAAGGAATCCACTGGCATGCGTACATCTATGTACTCACACTTCAGTGACGGTGCATTGCTGCAAACCGATTCTTGGCAGCGCAGCAGGAACAACATTATTTGACACGGGCACAATTTTGCCAGTGCGTCAAAATCGCCCGAAGGTGACCATGACATGGATGTTGCTTGGACGATGCAGAGGTGAAGAAAGCCCTGTGTTATTGTCCTGGTGGACAGTGGGGCAGAAGTACGCCACACAGCCGTCTCGGCTTTCCAGCATGGAAAGCCGGCTGTATGCATGTGGCCATGCTCATTCATGGACTCCCTTAGTGTGTGACAGAAGGAGAACAAAATGCAGTAGAGGATGATCGTGCTGTAACGGGTTGTGCTTTCTGTCGCAGATTGAGAGGTCTCGAGGATCGTCGTGAGGGATGCAGGACTGTAGCTTTCTTCCCAAGCGTCTGCTCCGCTTGCGTCTGCCTGAGGATTCGGTCGTCCAAATGCAGTGCTGGGCTGGAGCTGCGTGGTACACTCAGCTGTTGTTGCTAAAATGTAAAATGACTCGCCGCCCCGCTTGAGCAGCAGCATCGGCTTGGACGCCGGCCGAACCGCGAATTCTCAGCCAGCAAGCAGCGTCACAATGAATGTACGTGGGCGACTGGACTGCCCGTCGTGGACAATACAAATTCCTGTCCCATGGCCATCTGCTCCATAAGTTTTTTCGCACAGCTGCATTCCTTTTGACCCAAGGGCGGCCTTGCACAGAGGCCCCAGCTCACACGAGCCGAATTGGAAAGGGCGCTCACCATAACGGCGAAACCAACACAATAATCACAGCAACTGAACACAATACCGCCCGTTTAAATTGCGACTATTAATGCGATAGTTAACCGTAGTAACTGTGTTCAATGGAGGGCTCCCACACCGAGCCGAGTGCAGGTGGAAACATTCACTCAAGATTTTTTGATGTGCCATCATCGAAAATCGCTTCCTGACATTGGGAATTAATAGATTCATAGACTTTGTTTATGTTCAACATTAGATTTCCATGAAATGATAATATACACTGCTTGCTCAGGGAAAATAGGAAGCTGACGGCTACCCCATTGCCTTGTTCTGTAACAATTGCTGCTGATGATGAATTCCTTAATTACATAGCGTTCACTAAACCCAGCTACGCTCCCTGATGATGATGATGACGATGAATTCCTTAATTACATAACGTTCACTAAACCCAACTCCGCTCCCAGCAGCATAAACATGATGTCAACAGCCTGTGCCACCTTTCGGCAATGTAGGTCAGAAGCAAAATAAAGAGTTGTCCATGTAGAGAGAGATGCATGTACAGAGGTGGCTGCTGACTGGGGGCAACGAAGTCATCAGAATGTAGTGTCTAGTGCCAGAATGTATCATCAGCAGGAAAGTTTCTGATGTCCCAATATCCCCAAAAACCAGAATCCCGAAATTCCGAGAGCCTCATGTCCTAATTTTCCACAAGTGCAGATGTCCTAGAGTCCTAGAAGAGGAATGTAAAACCCCATAGGATGATGATGATGATGACAGAGGATGACAGATGATGAGATGACAATTCGCGACGGAAAATGAGTGCGCGATGTCGCCATACTGCAGGCGCACGGCACTATTCTGATCGATGACGCCCCCAACTCCGATGAGCAACAGCCCCACCCAGCAAACGGCCCATGTGGCCACCCAATCCGGCAACCGCCGTACATAAGGGCATCGCCGTTCCCCACTCTTCCTCTAGAATGGACCGATGACACCCATGGGCGCGGCGTCTTGGCAGAGGTTCCACGCCGCGGGTCCTCGCATGACAGTGCGCCTCTGCTGACGGAGGATGTGGCGCAGCGACCGGTCCGCGGCCGCCGACACAGAGGTATGCCATCAGGGGGCGACCATCACAGCCCGCCGCGCGGCGCAGTCTCAGATGCAGGGCTGCGTTCGTCGGTGCGCGTGGCAATCGCCGACCGTTTTACGTCCACCGCGGTCGGCCCCCCAACAAGGAGCAGAAGCAAGCCACGCCCGCGAGGCGGGTTGTTTTCCAGCATGGAAGGCCGGCTGCTTGCACGTAGCCATGTTCGTTCATGGACTCCCTGAGCAAGAGACAGAAGGAGAACCGGGCACGGTGGCTTGCCTATGGCGCAGTAGGGGGTAATCGGGACGCGGATTGGCGCGCGGGCTTGGCGTTGGCGGAGCGCTTTGAGCGAGCTTTGGGATGCGCCCGACTGGGGTGGAATTGTGCAAACGGCCTGCCAGCACAGGGCTCAGGCCCTTTTGGCGTCCGTCGCGATTGTCGTGGGGGTGGGCGGGTGTTTGGGGACAAGGGCTTCATGGGCTTCGTGGTGGCAATGTTGCATGGCCATCCCGGGCGCGATCGCCATGGATCGATATCCACATGGTGATGGGCATGGCGCGAGGCCGCGGCGGACATGGCGATGGTGTCATCTGGGAACAGCAGTTTTCCTTGACAATTTGCGTGTGGGCAGCCCAGCCCATCCTGCGCACGGTGTGGGGACAGGGACGGGTCGCACCACATTGGCGTCTTTCGCCGCTCGATTTTGGAATCCCAGCCTGGCAGCCGCACACGTCCGTGGCGGCGGCATCCTGCTTGGGGTGAGAGCAACATTCCTCAAGCCCTGCAACGCGTGTGCAGGAAATAGTGTTTCTCCCAAGGGCCCAATGCGTCAAGATTGACGTCACCAATGAGAGGTGTGCTGGCGGGCGGAGGTTCAGGACACAAGGGGCCTGGAGAGCGAGGTCGGCGGATTTGCAGCATTGGCGTCTCCTTGGTGCTTCTGCAGCTCGGATTGGTGGCCGTATGGCTGCTGCAGCAACGTGAGCAGTTGGACAGAGACGCGCTGACAAAATGCAGCACTGCATCAATCGGCTGTTGTGCTTTTTGCTGCTATACTGCTCAGTGTCACGAATAAGGTCTTGGCGTCCGCTTGCTTCGGCAAACATTCCCATATCCTGGACATACGCATCTTGGATTTGCGTATCCAGGAATGGCTCTCGTATCCAGGGTATCGCCAGTTCGTAGATACGGCTATCCAGGATGTGCAACATGATCCCTGACGAATGCAACGTTGCCACAAGGGCATGCCTGATCGCATGCTGTTGGATGATGCCATCCGGTAACACTTCGTTTCGATGCTTGGAAATTCGCGAAAGTTTCTTAATTATTCCTGCTGACCCCCATTCGCCATTTAAATCCAGGCTTGGGGACGGAGTAACCATGGTTGGCATCGATGCAGCGCATATACTCATAGCAATAATAGTTTTCATGTTTCTGGCGAACTTTGGGACATGTGACTTGCAGTTCACTCGTTTTCTGGGAAGTCCCTTGCTGTTAAGTGTGAACGTTGTTCGCAATGGATGCACAAACGCTAGTCTACGCCCACATGAGAACAAGGGATTCTTTGAGGGTACAGGTCACATCAACAGGTCGAGTCAGGACTTAGTCATGTGCACACAGGTTGTCAGAACAAATACACAGCACTACGAAGAAACATCATCAGAAATCCTCAAAAGCCATCTGTAATACGCATTGATTCAGTACCTGGTACCATGCGCTGATGTGGCACCGCTTAGTCCCAAAACTGCTTAACCTGATTGCACTGGATGTTACTACAACTCAATCGCCATCTCAAGGCGGTTCGAGGGAGGCGTTAGAGGGTATTCGGCATGAGGATAGCCACCACTTGATGGTAACTCGGAACTGTCCACTTCAAGTACTTTTGAGCAGCCAGCCAGACAACTGCATAGCAATCCATGTACACACAACCTTTGAATTGAAAATGCCCCGGTTAGTATGTGAAAACTGTATCAGGCTAGCTATGGCTGATTCAACAACTGGTGTGTACTTTCCCGGTACATTCCATGCTGTTATCGCCCCCTGGGGGGACAAAAGGATATTCAACAGGCCGTCCAAGTATGGACCAGCAGTAGCAATTCAAAAGGAGGGTGGCTTGAACTTGGCAGGCGTATGACCTGTCAAAGGCAGAAAAGGCAATTTGGTGATGGGATTCATGCGGCGATCAGGTCCAGAACTTGGGACGTCCCTTGCAAGGACATCCCTCCTTTCGATCGAAGCTCAACAGAATATTTCAGGCAGCTTGGTAGATCCACTTCCTGCAATTGCTGAATGGGTAAATCACTACCCGCAAGTTCATTTCGATGACCTCGTCATGCTTGGCGAAGATGTGGATGATTCAAGATGGCCACATGGTGTCAGTCTGGCAAGCTACACTGTTGCAGTCAAGATTTTTAAGGTGGGTCTTGATTTTTCAGGGAAGGGGTATGGTGGAGGGTGGCGTGAAAATAATTGTATGGACACTTGCCCCCATTACAACTCCAGGGGAAGCATGGTTGCGGGGGCTTCAGTAGTCCATAGAAACTCACCAACCTCACTGCGATCTACAGGCAGCTTGTCAGCGCTATTGCATGTGGAGCCAAATTGCATTCTGCACAGATGGTCAATGTGGCCCACAAGTTATACAGGTTATTCGAGCACACGCTGTCGTGGGCATACTGCCATATCCTTACCATATGCATATGGTGCGCCGTCAAGGAACCATGAACCAGTACATGTGGTACGCATAGAATTCTGAGAGGATGTCCTTTGGTGAGAAAGATGCTCCAGCTTGTGGCTGTTGGCATCCACTGTGGAAATTGACATCCATCGTGCAATACTCTGCTTTTGCGTACATATCAAAATTTGCCAAAACTGCCTATGCGCCTGCATGGAAGTGATAACCACCTTTTCAGTGGAGAATCAGGTTGAGACAATACTACTAGTGCTTCCATGTGCTCATGATTGCCCCGCACATTGAAACGCATTCTGACTTAAATGTTGTGCAGACAGAGAGGATGATCGTGGAGGACGCACAAAGAGAGATGGAGATCCTTGCATCTGTGAATCACCCCAAAATTACACATTTCCTGGGTGCAGTCGTGGACAACTACAGCTCAAGTTCAACACCTATTCCGCAGGGTTTTGCAATGGAGTACTTTCCTGGGGAGCAGCTGGAATGCGTCTTAAATGAAACACTACCAGAGTGAGTATCTGTTCTCTCTAGGTGGAATGGCTGCGATGCACATTGCCCCAATCGGGATTCCTGTGTCATTATCTCCGATAATGAATCAGTATCGGAGATAATAACAAGGAATGGATCATTATTATTAATGGATCATTATTGAAGATCCGTTGGATGGATTTGACAGCATGGTTGTTCACGCTTTGTCAATGTGCATTGAGCTTGGACGCGCATACATACCAAAGGAAATGGTCTTGCTTTTTTGCTTCCGATTCACACCGCTGGCAATGCAGAATCAGGACGGAGGAATAGAAAACAATGTTGCTCAGTGAGAAGCCCTAATTTTCCAAGTACGCCCACGTCATAGTACACAG